GGCACTCTAAAAGTTAGCCAATCAAAGTTAAAAGATTTTGAAAATTCTTGACTGATTGGTTAATTCTTATGATACATCTTTCGATTGTTATTCCGGAAAGTGTGTGCGGATCCCCTAAAGCGTGTTCAGATTCCCACATGGGTGCTTCCCGAGTGTCATGTCACCCTTGTCTTGTTCGATAAACAAGAATGGAGTGATACTCTAGTGGGAATCTGAACTCAGCACTAATGGGATAATATCTCATTCCGTAATATATATCCTGGTAATTTTACGACCCTAACTAATATTTCAGTTCGCAAAGTAGAATAACGCTTTTTTATGCAAGAACGTGTCGAATAGTCTAATTTCATTGATTTTTGAGTTAGCTAAACTGTATAATTACCAAATGTACAATACATACAAGTATGATAGTTTATTTGACTTTTATCTATTCCACCATTACTTCAACGTGTTTCAACGTCATTTGTTACCATTATTTCCAAGAAGGCACTTGCGTATGCACGCGCGCGTGTGTGTGTGTTCTCATTTTATTATTTAAATTCTCACGCATATAATAAAAGATTTAAAAAATTGAGCATTACTGTATTATCGCTATAATTACAAAAAGGATCATTTACATTAGCATAATTAACAAAGTTAGATAAAGATTAACAAATCGAGATACTTCTTATCCAGAAGTTTTACTCCTATATAAATCGTGATGGAAGTAATATTTATTAATATATAAATATATTATAAGCTAATGGAAAAATCAATGGAACCCACTGAGAACATGGGATTCTGTTTTTACTACTAACAGTTACAATTAGTGTGTTACGACTGTTCCACTGGACTGATCTTATGATTATTCTGGTCATCTATTATTCAACTTTAAATAACTTTAAGACTTTCTTTACTTTCCTACTTTAATGTAATGTCTTTTTGAATATATTTGATTAAGATTGACTTTCCAATAATATATATAATTTAGTATTGCCTCCGACTTTTTATATAGGAATGAATTTACAAGTACTATCGAATAAGAAGTGCCTCGTTACTTATAGACATAATAAAATGGATTGCAGTCTGCTGAGAATCAACTGTTTAAAATGCAAAGAGATAAAGGCGAAAAATCTATTTCTCAATTTGCGATTTTCCTTTTAATTCTGTGAAAGTGTTTCCTTATTTCGTACATTTTTGTAAAAACCTCCAAAATCTTGTTTCATTTAATATTTATCCTATATAATGTCGAACCATCGCACAGTCTCAATTTTCTTGACAAGAAAAAATTTTAAATTTTTCCAAACTTCTGTCTCTTTCTAGTGTTTTTTGAACTTACTACCATGCACTTGGTTAAATCAGGTATAATTCAATGAAAGTTTTTTATTGTACAGCAACGAAGATTTTCATTGATATCGCTTCGCCATTTTTCTTTCTAACTTGCGCATTTTCTTCTCATTCATCTCAGATTGCTCTTGTGGCTGAGCAAAGAACCATGGAGCCAAAATTTGTTTCCAGAGCACCCAGCTTCCCCTCAATGGTACCTGTAGAATTTCCAAAATATATATATAAATAACAAGAGTTCCACATATATGTGGTCTTTTTGTGACATTGAATAAGGAAAGCAATGCAAATGATTTATTGAAGTACCTACCAAAAGCCACAATAACCAGAAGTAGTTCGAAATAAGGGACAAAATTTGCACTCCTGACGTTAATATGATTAAATCTTTGAAATGTCTGTAAACAAAATTATGATACTTTGTTCAATGAACAATAGGATCCAGATAACACTGGACATTCTAAGGATGTCCATTTTAAATTCAATTCCTATCCGCTTATAACAAATATATATTTCATGAATCTGACAGACCTAATTTAGACATTCTATGAACATTCCAATGTCTAGAAGTGAATGTCCAATAGACATACTATGGACGTCTTCATGCTATCTAGGAAGAAAGTAATAACGATGAGAAGAGTACAGTTATAGTAAAAACTTACTCTGCTATACCACCTTCCATGTTCAGATCAACACCTGGATCCAGGAGCTGGCCGGATTCTGAGTACGTGGCGCGAGCCATGTACGACATGAATTGGTAGCTTCCTATATATATAATTGCAGAAAATGCCATTAGACTCTGTAACGATATTATACACAGTTAAGGGGTTTCATAGCTGCAGAGCTATATCGGTATCCATGGATTTGTTCGCGTCGCATGCTTCAATGGGCTCGTTGTAGGAGCTATAGTAGGAATATGTTGAAGCATGTTGGAGCATTCGACGTGAATAAACCTCATCAGACACGGGATTCAACTTACTATCGTCAGTGCGTTGAATTCACTCAACATCATCGTTATAAAGTGCATTCCCATTGCGCCTAAGGCCATATAGATATAAAAACTCAGCGTAGAGACATTCTCTTCCTTTATTTGCTTTGCTCCTTTGGTCAATACCTTAACTTTCTTCGTCTGTACAGGGATACGTTCAAGAATTACGTCCAGTTAATTCTAAGCTATGATTTACGTTACGTGTACTCAGGATTGGGTATCAGGATACATCTTATTGTATCTTTTTTTTTTTAAATAAGACAAAATTTAAAAAATTATTCAATATTTAAATTTTTATTATTTTATAAAAAAGTTTTACTTGTCTTGTACTAAAGCTGTGTTCGCTTTGGACAGTATGTGATATATAAATATTTATTTATATATTAGGGATTTTATTAGAGATTTGGTTATATATATATTTGTTAAAAAAACTTATAAGTTGAGAAGTACGGAATATATAAATCAATTTTATTTTCTCAGTTCTATTAACATTAAAAAAATCTCGTTACAAAGTAAAATGTGAATAAACATATTTATATCTTTATGAAAACTGAATAAAGTCAATCAAAATTATACTCTAGAAATGTCATTTTATTGAATACCGGCATTTAAAATAAAAAAAAACCATCTGTTCATCTTTTTCTTTTTTTTAGAAAGTGTACTCTTTTTACTAATCAATGTATATACTCTTTTCGTGCGAGAATTGGCAACTCTATTCATTACTGAAAAAAAGTAACTTTTTATATGTAATTAGTTAACTTCGTTATTTGTAACGGAAAAAATAACTTATCGATACGTTATAAATTATTTATTACTTTTTTTCGGTAAATAACGCGATCGTATAAGTTTTTCTTTAGAGTGGAAACGTGAAAAGTGAATATTTTTATGTATGAATGTATGTATACATATATACATACATATACACATACCTACAAAAAATTTTCACTTCATGTTTCTGCCCTAGAAAAAGTTACATGATTGATACCATTAAATTAATTACGTTTCGTGCTCTCCTATTGGTAGAGCGTGTAACGTCAATCAATAGTAAAGCATTTTTCAACCCAGGTTGATGCAAACCCGATCGGGCTACGGGTTAACAATTACGATCAATAGTCCGATTCTATTTCAGCCAATTATGATGGACTCGCTACATCGTAATTGGCTAAAGTAGAAACCAGGCAACCATTTTTACATGCGACTTTATAAGAGAAATGCAATTGGATAATTTTCTTTATGCCTATACGTTCATGCGACTATACAAATTTGTGTGGATATACCCTTATGCCGATTCTGCAAGTAGGAAGTTTTAGTCTTAAGCCTATTCTATAATAGGATCGCAAGCTGTAGAGGGTCCTCTGCATAGAAGTCGTAGATGGTCGTAGAGTAGAAAAGTAACCAATCATATCAAATATAAGAAGAATACTCGATTAGAATTGATCAGTTTCCTACGACTTCCATGTAGAGGACCCTTAAGCTGTAAGAAATTAACAAATTATAGTTGATTATTTTTATCATATTCAACTATGATCAACCAATTTTATATGGTTTACGACTTGCGACCTTTTCTAATGCCTGTTCTACAATAACTGTATAAAGTATGTATATATATATATATATGTACATCATATGTGTAGTTTTGCGTTGAATTGTGTAAAGACAAGCATTTTCCACAAAAGCACAGTATGACATAGCAAGAATAATATCCAGGTTATGTAGTATTATATTGTACGTTAATCGCGTACACAGTTCGCAAACAGCTTTAAAGCGATACCAGATAATCAGATGTGAATGTATTTTGTCACTTGATAATAATAGTACACGCAAGAGGTTTCATAATACGAGTAGACTAAACAATCGGAACGTTTCTTATGGAAACGTCGATTAATTAAGAATGAACATTCACTGCGAAAAAAATATGAAATATAAACTCACTGTCATCTTATTTGATCTTCCTATCAAAAGAGTTGGTAATATTCAAGAATTCTGTCTTCCTCACTGACTTTAATGAAATTGGACTCATTCCATGCGTTTTTGTACGACAAAAATTAATTTGACAAAAAAAAAAGCGTCACTCTGCCCCGCAGACCAACATATTATTTGTCGAAGTGATAACAATTCAGGTTAGGAAAAGTGTCACAGCCACAAAATACTGTAAAGCGAGCATGCACTATGGTCACATTTCCACGTAACATGCTCTATAGCTACATGAGTATAAGTTTTTGGTATTTCTCTTTACAATGGTTGTGTTTCATTTAACTGACCAATCGCATTTGTTGTTTAGTAAAATTGACTAGAGGTCCTAAGGGAGCGTTTATATTGGCCATAACCATATGCCGCAATTTTTAAGAATTGACTAATCATAATCAAGATAGTCGGCATGCTTCTGGCTATCGTCCACTTGATGCAAATACTTGGAAGCATTTTTTGATTGATCAATTAGTAAAATTCTTTCTTCCGATTGATCAATCAAACACTTGGAAACATTTGTAGCGTCAAGGATTGGATCGCACTCTCTATCCTGAGGATTTAGTACAGAACCACATTTATTTTCGACGATACGATTATTATCGATAGTGTCAGAAAATGTATGTAGTCACGTAGTTCCCAAACTGAAAATGGATGTACTTCGACGGAGAAAAGGCTGATATGGCCTCTCTCAGGTTTTTCTCTGCTTCCACAATGCGCAAGACGTACCGGAAAAGTGCGCGTAAGCGCGCTGGCGATCAAATCAAAAAAAGGATTTATCTCAGAAAGATAAGAAATTTTGTATGAACTCGTGAACATGGACACACGCGGAAACAGCGTTATGGATCATGAAACATAGCCTTTCTCACTCCTTTGTACTTTGGAACGACAGAAATTATGAATCGCGGCAATGTCGTTACATCTAATCTCGTACGACTTTTTACGAGCCTTTGTCGCTACGGCGACAATATCGGCGATAGTATTGCGTGCCGACGATTGTATTATCGTCTTCGAGGGCGTCAATTTCATCTGCCGCTGACGCGTTGCCGCGGTGAGTATCCTAACCAGTGGACCAATTACAATCTTGCTTCGACTGCACTCTCCTGCAAACCTCGTGCGCAGATCCGCGAACTGCAAACAATGTGGCCTACCTATAAAGAAAAGGAAGGAGAGCAAAAGAACGGTTTTCTCGTAGACGCGCAAGAGATGATACTCATATTAGCGAGGATTGCAATTGTAAGCACGGTTATCACCATCCTGCTTGTCGCGTACTTGATTACACGCTTGACCTGTGCGAATTTCTTTCCCACCATCCTACGAAAAGGTAAGCAAAATGTTAGCAATCGTATTACCAATCATATTAAAGAATCTAAGCGCTAACTGATTAGTTTTCTCTGCTAAATGCAACCAATGTCTATGGATTTCACTCTTATACTTTTAGGCTGTAAGAATTGAGTTTCGCTCAATTCACTTAAGTCTAGTAGGTCCTCCACAATAGCCGTTAGTCATAAATCAGATGTCAAAAGCTAAAAATTGATGATTGTGATTATGGTCAATTTTTAGCTTTTGACTTCTGATTTAGGGAGCGTTTATATTGGCCGTAACTATTCTTATTTTAACTTCTATTCTTATTTTACGTCTAAGGAACGATAATGACAGAATGATGATTACAAGCGCTTAAAACGCGTGAGCATTTAAATCAATCACAGCCATTATAGAAGGCCCGTAAGAGTATATTCACACAACTTGCATAGCCGCATAAACATATGCATAAGCGAATCAACTAATCAGACTCATTCCTTTCCTCCCACTCCATGGAAAAGAAGAATTTTAATTGATTGATTCCCTTATACAGTATGCATTAGGTGTTATGCAAGAATCTATGCTGCGACTATAAGCGGGGAACACAAACGGGGAGCAAAAGACTTGGAATTATTCCCTAATAAATCTCAAAGAATGCAAATTACAAAATACAACATACATTAAAATATATTAATAAAACGTCTTTTTGGTCTAATGAGAATTCGCATTGACTACTATGTGTTCGAAATGAGACGATCAGTAGATTTTTGTTTGCAAAAGAGAATCTTGTTGCAAAGAACAATTCAAGAAAAGCAGTGGCATTTTTCCACAGGTATCGAATTCCTCGGGCCGATTTTCATCAAGTTCGGCCAATGGATCTCCACGCGATGGGATGTCTTTCCGCGGGATGTTTGCAACACGCTTTCGCAACTGCAACGAAACGCGACATCGCATTCATGGCTGTATACGGAGCGCCTACTCGAAGCAACATATGGTCCTTCCTGGCGGAATTTATTCGTGAGGTTTGACGACAAGGAACCAATCGGTTCAGGATGCTGTGCGCAGGTATGCAGCCCGAGATAGGGTAGGCGCGAGAGTAGAGGATAGATTCGAACATTATGTAAAAAGACAGATATACCATTGCGCATATGATATCACGTGTCGTGACGTAACGATCGTAGCGAGCCAATAAGAAATGCCCAGAAGTGCAGGGCGAAGTGGAGCAAATGTACAGCAGTGCAGTGTATATGTATCACTTCGCAGCCATATTGAATCCTGGACGATTTCTGATTGGCTCTTTACTTTAGACGACTGCGCATCCACGGGAATGGTACACCTGTCTTTTTACATCATGGACTCGCATACACTTGCCGCGAGTGTACGAATTGGATATACACTTGCGATGGAACGAATGTTATTTGCGCGACTTTTCATCGTTCAAAATTGATGTTTAGGTGTATAAAGCGTGGATCGATCAAAATGCAACATGGGAGCCTCAGATGTCGCATTTCATGGATAGTAAGTTCAGAAATATCTTTATCACTTCCCTTGCGTACGTGTAACATCGCCGCGGTAGAAATCATACAGGCGATTTCGCGAAAAGTCACTTTTGTTATAGTTTCGTCTAGAATAACGAAGCGTATTCATATTTGATATTTGAGTGTTGATCTGCCTGGATAGATTTACATTAGCATTGTTCGGTTTGTCTCTCGGGAGCTGCTCGCGATCGCTTCGAATGAATCCCGCGTACTTGAATTATAGGATTCACACTATTGCACAATGAAAAAAATGATAGGGCCTTAGTCGTTAAATTATATTTTTCGCTGGTAATTAGCGAATATCCAATGACTATTCATAGTCAATTTTTAAAAGAGATGTCATATATTTTAATCAAAAAGTCAGTATTGTACGCATTAACATTGTCAGTATACAATTTCAAAAATCCTTTATCTTTAAGTTAAATTTTATTCACAAAATATATTTTATAAGATATATATTACTTATTGTTCGAATAAATGTATTTGAAATAAAATTTTATTTTCACTTTTTTTCATAGTATTATATTAGAGTTTTCCTATTGTCTTTAATTTCACTTTCTTTATTTGGTCGTTTATAAAATGTTTCAATTTCAGATAAAGCTCTCAATGGAAGCGACAAATTAGCATCTGCCAGTCCGCGTACCAGAAATTTGCAAACCATAGCGGTAAAAGTGTTGCATCCTGGAATCGAAAGTCAACTCAAGTACCCTTTTTAAAATATTACGCAAATAATTTTTAGTAGTATTTCCTGCCAAAATTCAATCGCGAATAAAAATTGTATGATAAATGAATGCAAATTCGCGCTGCGAATTAATGTCAGTACGTTGATTGGATATCGCGCATCGCATGTCGTTCATCGCGTCGGAACCATAATTCTTACTGCACACTGGACGACTAGTATTTAAATATATACTAAAGATATTCTATATTATATATAAGATATTCTATATTATACATATTATAAGATATTCTATATTCTACAGGTATCTGTTAAGTAAGGTCGGAGCCGCATTGGGGGTGTAGAATGGGAAACAAAAAAGTCTTATATTATTTTGTAATTTTCGCAATAGTTAACAAGATATTAATTATTAAAAATGGCCGAATATTGGTCTTCTATCAATTTTACAAAAAAACTATAAGAGATAAAAATTGTTTATTTTCTTTTCATAGAACTCCAAGAATTTTTTTCAGTATTTTTTCTCAACTTTTTAGTACTGCATTTTCTTATTTTTATTATCATGAGAAAATACGGTATTAAAAAATTCTGAAAAAATTCTCAGAACTTTATGAGAAGAAAATAAACAATTTTTGTCTTTTACAGTTTTTCTGTAAAGTTCATAGTATTTGAGAAAAAATTATTAAAAACTAATATTCGGCTATTTTTAGTAATTAATATCTTGTTAACTATTGTGAAAATTGCAAAATGGTATAAAACTTTTTTGTTCCCCTTGATCCATTCTACGTCCCCAATGTGGCTCCGACCTTACTTAACAGATATCCTATATACTATACTTGTATATATTCTGTATTGTATATATATTCGCAGAAGGGACATTGCAATAATGCGTGGTTTGTGCAAGTGCGTCACGTACTTCATTCCGAAATTGTATTGGCTTAATCTCACAGATTGCATCGACGAATTCGCACGCATAATGGAAAATCAAGTAATTTATTCATATGACTATATCCTTACATATTCATACTAGATAATCTGAAAAAGATGTAGCCTTAATATTATATTATATATGAAGGTTGTTATACTCACATTGAGAGAAAAAAAATGATTGTAAGTACCATAATTTAACTATAATTTATAATTATTTTGGGGTTAACTATAAATTTATAATTCTTTTAACTATGCACATTATAGCTGCTTCAACACTGAAATATATGATCATTACAACTATGATAGGCATTAAATTTTTCCTCACCACATTTCTTAGTTATTATTACCATTTAAATAGTTATATTAAGAAAATAATCATATTTCATTCACTATAATAACGATTGCATTTATTACTAGAAATGGCTATTTTTATTTATCATTCATATCTTTATATTTTACTATAAATATTAATAGTTAAATATTATAGATTATTATAATTTATAGTATTCCCATATTTGAGAGAACTATACATATAAGGTTATTATTATTAATCTGTAATCTATATGTAATACAAGCCATTAATGACTGTAATAATCAGATAAAAAATAATCAAAAGGAACATATGTATTTCTACTAGAAGCAGAAAATATAAATGAATTTGAAAAGAAGTTTTGAAAAGAAGTTCTGAAATACAGATGCTTCAATTTGAATATATCTTAGATAAAGCTCAGATGTAGATAATAATACATAAAAATACATAAAATGTATCTCCATGCGTGTATTTAAATACATGTAGATACATGTAGATACTACTCAACACTAGTTGAAGTCTGCATAACTTCTATAAGTTCGCGAAACGAAATCAACAAGAAATAGTCGCTTTATTTGTGACGAGAACAAGGGATAATCCAAGCAATAATTTGTTCCTATTGTGCTGGATTTAATCTCCGAATGATCTGTAATTTAAAAACAGCAAAAATGTGATGGCACGCATTTAATTATATTGATTTTTGTAAAGGTTGATATGCGTCTGGAAGCTTCCAATCTCGTGAGATTTTCGGCGAATTTCTCGAAGAGAAATGACATCATATTCCCGTATCCTTACACACATCTGACTCGTCGCAGGATACTCGTTGAGAGTTTCCACGAAGGTGCACCGATATCAGATTATCTGAAATACAACGATGCTATTTTACAGCGGAGACTCGCCAGGATAGGAATCGCGATGGTCCTTCAAATGGTTAATACTAACGATTTTCAATCAGTATAATAAAATATATCAAAATAGAGTGGTTTGTATCAAGCCTTTTAATTATTTATTGTCGTTGTTATAAACATCTACCGATTAAAGAAAGCGAATTAAAATTTTCTTATTTTGAGAAGATTAATGTTAGATTTATTTCAATGAGATCTAATTGCAAAACTTTAAAAGATTAGCCGATTTTTCATAGCGCTTTATTATTGTATAATTTTTGATTGAGTATAATGTGTGAACAACCGTTTGATTGTAGATATTTAAGGATAACTTCATCCATTGTGACTTGCACCCAGGCAATATTCTAGTCGAGAAAACAGTCGTCCCGAAGGCGAGTCTGTTCAACACTTTTTGGCGGGTCATTATCCCCGATTATACGGAGCACGACTCACGCCTGATCATATTGGACTGCGGCCTTGTAGTATCTCTGAATGAACGCTGCCGACAAAATCTTCGAGATGTTTTTTATTTGGTACTAACGAAAAACGTAAGCTCGGGAAATAACGTTCATTTTCTATTAACATGTGCTCTTTGCCTTCTTAATGGGGAACTTAAGCTGGAGAAATACGTTTATTCTTTTTTCTCTTTATTTTTCTTTCCTTAGCAAAATATGCTTTTCTCTGATATTTTAATGAAGAAAATGAACAGAGACAAAACATCCATTTTTATCGAAGCACATCTTTTCAGATGTCTCTAGGGCAAAGGGGTTGTTCAATATTTTATTCAATATAAAATACACGGTAAAATATTTATGATAAAAGCAATCAGCTATATGAACGTAAATTTTTTTCGTAGAGAATGACGATTTAATTTAAACTTAATTGCAATCGCATTTTTTGACACATTTTTTTTTAATTTCTACTCCTCAATATATAGTTTTTGTTTACTTATGTTTTACATGTATATCATTTTATTTCGTTTCAATAATCATTTTTTGCCGTGTGTTTTATATTTCTTAAAGATGAACGATTGACGATTTACATACAAAATTTAACTTTATTTTTAATTTAGAGCGAAATGGCGGCGCAGTATATTCTGGAGCACAGTTCGCACATGACCCCCGACTCAGATGGCTTCAAATGTTCAATTAAAAATATTGTCAAGTCTCATTTTAGCAATCCATTTAATGTTAGTAACAGGTATTCTCTTTGAAGTTCAAGAGATCGTTGAAATGGCGTATCTTTCGCGATCTCTATTTCTAGGATAGTCGCTCGATTGTAAGAAATTTCTTAATTTTTTAACTTTGACCGTATTCATTCATGCGATTTCATCGCTTTTCAGAATTAATTTTCCGATTTTTGTTTTGTTTACGACCGTGCGCGTAAACATTGCGTGAGATATCGTCCGCATTTAAAGGGAATTCTAGTAGTCGTCGCACTTTATCATAAACTCCATTCGACATTAATTGTATCCTTCAAATTGGATTTACGGATTAAAAAATTGTTTTTGCTTTTTAGAATTAAAGTACACACAAAAAAACATCTGAAGTACTGGATTTCACGAGAAAGTACAGAAAATTAAAAAATTCACTTTTAGCTTTTACAGCTACAGCTGTTACTTGAGATTCATATTTACTTGCTATAAGAATTTTATAGTTCATTAAAAATAAGCGATGATCATTACTTATAGGAGCGAAATACTGAAACGTACGAAATGATTTACTCAAAGGAATGAAATATTTATTTACGGAAATACACAACTTATTACTGCGAAATAAATATTTATTTATATCGAAGAAATTCGTTTCAAGAAAATGCATTTTCTTGTTTCTCTCTCCCCAACTCCCATGTTTTTCACTTCTTCTCACACGAGATATATTATATTCAATGAGTTTATTTTTACGTTTTTAATTAATTTAGCAATTAAACCTTTTAATGATACTTGCGCAATTTAACTAATATTTTTAATAATGTAAATCAAGTAATTGAATACGGAGATATGAAGTGATGGTTCGCGGCTCTGCCAAAATTTGATTATAATCTATTGATTTGTTTATTTATTTAAGACGTTTTTTAAAAAGGAGATTGTGGCATCTCCCGATCTGAATTTTAAGACTTTCATCCATCTATGTGCAATATTTTCATTTTTCTTTTGAGAGACAGTTAAATAAAAAAAAGTGTAGAATCTCTGTTCAATAATCATTATAGTTAAAAATTTTATTACTTTTGCCTTAACAAATGAACTTTGTTTGATCTCTGTAACTTTTTTTGGTGTTTGTGATAAAGATCGGTAAAAAAAAAGAATCGTAATCTCCCGGACGTAACAGTATTGTCAATATTATTCATTTATTTTTATTGGTATCTATAACATAATTTATACTTTATACATGTGTATTATGATTTCCATATACGTTTTAATTTGATTGCTAAATATTAATTAGATACTGATGCATTACAATATTAATTTTAACCATATTTTTTTTGTTTCTTTTTTTCCGTGCGTTTTCGGATATGTGCAGGTAAGCGTAAGTACCGTTGTGTCGCAATTATTCTCCGCGATGATTCATCACCGAGTCAAGCAAGACGGATCCTTCAGCAGCGTAATTCTTAGTATGCTGGTGATCGAGAACCTCGGTCGGTGCCTGGATCCTAAAATCGATATTTTCACGGAGATGCTGCCCTATGTCCTTAGAAGCGTTATATAACAAGTGAAGATGAAACTCTAAACAAAAGTTAATTATATATTCAAAATAATTACTGGAGTATTATTTTATTTGTACCTTTCTCATACAATAAACAATTTAAGTAAAAGATACAGGATTCTCAAAAAAATTATTAATAATTTAATAATCTAAGAGTTCATTATCGTTTTTTGATAGGATGTTCATATAATCATTTTTTTTTTAAGATGGCCCGAAGTTGAGTTAAAACGAATTATGAATAAACGATTGAATTATTAAATAACTACTTGTATGTACGTATAAATAAACTTGTATGTATGTATAAATTCTGTACGTGAAAAATGCTTTAAGTATTTATTAAGATTTATATTCAATCAAAAATATAGTTTTTCAATTTTAATCATAATAAGCGACACTTTTTTAGTGCGTACTGTTGAGAAGACATTTGTCCAAGAATCCGCATTTTTATTTTTTTATTAAAATCTCCTGTAAAACTGAGTGTTTGTATTGATACTTGACTAACTTTTAGTTCAAATTCTAAGGAATAGCTTAAACATTTTACTGTTCAAACTCGGATTCTTGTATTAATTATATAGCATAAAAAAAAAGTGCGTACTCTTTGTCATCTTATCCTAATCGTAAGTTTATAACAACATCTCATTTTTTCTACATCAAAGAAATTACATTGTCATATAACGTGTTAATTTATTTGTCGGACATATATTCATTTTTATAATTAGAAAAAATATATTCTGTGTGTGTGTGTGTGTGTGTGTGTATGTGTGTGTATAATACATGTTACACATTTATTAATCGAGTATGTTTCGTATACTTCATATAAATATGTTCTCTACTAAAAGGAAAACTCCCTTAATGATCGTGACATTTTCCTTAATTATATATATAAGTGTCGCGCGCGATAGAGAAATTTAATTATTTTTATCTTATCCGAGTACGCATTATTCGGTGTGGTAATGGCGTATACCTATAAACGATATTAGTTTTACGTATTTTGGTTTAATAACTATGAGACAGTGTAGTAAGCGAGAATAACAATATTTTTGTTTAATCTTTCGAGGTGTATCTTATGATAACATTATCAACAATCTCGAGTTATTTATCGAAATCAGTTCTTAGTTTAGTAACAGCATTAAACTTCATATTCAACTTCATAAAAAAACGTTCTAATATGGTTTATTAATTCTAACACAATTGTTAAATATATCTGGATAGTCCTCGATTTTAAATTCTCAGCGAGGGATGCAATTCTTTTCTTCATCAATGAGAATTATCCTTTGACCACAACTTTGACGTTTTTCGGCAAGTTTGTTGTAGAACCTTTGTTGACACTGGCGGCTGTAGGCCTCATAAAACTATGACCCTTTAAGCCGATTCGTGGCTGCATTAATCTGCTCTTCGTTGCGTATGTCTTATCACCGGAAGACAGTCGATTTCCTAAGATTGATTGCTGACCTATGCTGCTTCCACTGCTGCTGCTACGTGAGGCGATCGGCCGGCCTCTTGTGACTTTTGGCATGCCAGGCACCACCTACCGATTAACAATAAAAATCAAAAATCTCGAATAAAACATTTTAAATTTGCTTTCCAAAAAAAAAGCCTAGAATTATGTCATTTTTTTCCGTATATCAATTAATTCTTTGGCTATATCTGAGCTGAATACGGAATTGTACAGTAATAGACAGAATGGTTACAAAAATAACCTAGTCTTTGAACCCTATTGATGATGACACGGAGCAAAAGTAGGCGCGGTTTGGCTGAACTATATTAGGCCTGTTCTTTTTGGCTGAACTTTTGTATCAGGTCATCTTTCCTCCAGAGAAAAGGAAGAAAGATGAACTGGTGCAAAAGTTCAACTAAAAAGAACAAGCTTCTTGTATCTTTTAAGATTTGAATATATACAATACAAAATCCTCTTTTTATTTAGAAAGTATATTTATAAATAACTAAATATTATAAGTAAATATTATAATATTTGAATTATATCAACCTGGGATTCTTTTTGGACGCTCTTCGTTGCTGGTCCAATGTTGCGGCTGCTGTTGCTGCTTCTACTGGCGGGTATCTTGCTGGTGCTCATCTGACGAAGACTTGATCGTCTCTTATCAACCGCGTCCTTCGACGGCAATGGTCTGCTCAACGAACTGTTTTTCCTCAGATCATTAGTCAGCGCTCGGATAGCCGAAGTATAGTTCTGCAGATGCACGCGATTCGCGGCCAAATTCTTCACCGTATTAACGGATGTCGCGCTGTTCAGCGAGCTCCGCGAACTGCGTAGACTACTTCTCGAACTGGAACGTTGCACTTCGCTTTTTGAAACTCCTGTATCGTTCAACGGTACCACATTCGAGGTTCTTTTCAGAGACTCGATTTTTCTCAAAGCAGAGGATTCGTGCTTCGCACTTGCGGTGCGCTTTGGCAAGAAGTTGGACTTATTCGATGCATTCCTCGCGATCGTTTTCTCGTTGAACGTCTTACCGGAAGCCGGCAATTTGTCGGATGATTCCCGGCCGTCTAGATTGTCGTCGTTCACCACAGTGATGATGCTACGTCGACGATTTTCGCTGCCGTAGCCGCCCAGTTCAGCTGGTGAGGATCGCATCAAGTCATGCGTGTCCGTCTCATAATTGCCGGAAGACGTCTCCTGGCTCAAGGTTTCCGACACGAGGCTTTGCGTCTCTTCAAAGCCTTCGTCATTTAACTCCTGATCTCTGCTCTTACCAGACAACGGCGATGTTGTCACACTTACATCAGGGACGAATCGGTTGCGGAATACAGAGTTCTGTCGAACCGCTGTCTGATCGCACGGATCGTCCATAGTCCGGACATTTTCGAATTCTCTCGTGCCCCCAGTGGACTTCAGATCCGCACACTTCTCTTCTTCTACGATCTCAAGCATATCGTCCTTTCGATCGCGCAACGAGGGGTTTCCGTTTCGCGAAAAACCATTGATGACTTCCTGATTTTGATTCACTTGACTAGGTGGATTGCTGGACAAACGGACCGCTTCCTTCACCTGGCTTGGATCGATCATGCTCCGATGACGTTCGCGGCTTGTCACTGCTCGCTCGGTAATCACTGTGACAGGCTCGCGCGATCGCGATTCTTGCATTACCGGACTCAACACGGTGTTAGTCACCGCTAACACTGGCAGTGGTTGACTGACGGGAAGTCGCGAATTTCTGTGACCCATCGTCGATGTTGCTGTCGTCGGCACTGAATGCGACAGACACTGAAGATCCTCGTTAGAACGCGCGATCTCCATTAGAGCCGTATCGCGTCGTTTTAATTTATCTTGCCAGATACGCAACATGGCGTCTGCGTCCTCGTGGAGGATCTCTTCATCTGCCTGGGTGAGGGTATTAGGTTGCTGCACCGTCGATTTCTCGTCGTGAACCATTTCGAGACTCGATGCATTTGATTTATCTTTGTTCCCCGTGAGATCTAGGGTCTTCCTGTACCTGCGAGTTCGTCGCGTCGCCGAATATCTATCGAAGTTACCTAAGAACCGAGATATATTACTTTATCAATTGAAATTCATTTATTCTGAACTTTTGAAATTGCGAAATATATGTATGTTAAGATTTCAAAGACTCTGATTAAATATTTTGTATATCACGTAATGGCCTTGAAAATCCTCAATTTTGTAAGCATTTGTGCGTGCTTCTTCATTCAAAATTCTCTCTCTCTCTCTCTCTCTCTCTCTCTCTCTCTCTCTCTACCATTCTTCTTCTCCTTCTTCTTCTTTTATTAAAATAATTAAGTTTTCTCGCCGTTATTGCAGAAGATGAGCATCATTGACTTTTATGCAGTACAACAAGCAATCGTAAAACTCTCTCTTTACATTTTGAAATGTCTGAGAAGGAATGTCTCTGCAAGTTACAATTATCCTATTTTGAAATTTCTCGATTGTATCTGAAAACGTATTGAAAATTACTGGATAATTTTTGTTTAAATAATTGAGTACGTCACGGTGGTAGTCTGCAGAACATTCATCCTACTGAAAATGAATGTTATATTATGTATATCGAATTCCAATTAGCTATCCTATCAACAGCATTTTTAACAACTTGGGTTATTAAAGGACCACATCTCGCAGCTTTTTATTTAATTGGATTTAATTGGATTCATCTAGATTCAATTAGATTTGAAAAACTGTATTTCTTATTAAAAATTTCGAATTGAGCAATATTCAAAAATGCATAGAAAAAGCTAATATCATTTTCAATTTAAAGACATAGAAATGTACTTCATGCAATTCTTATAAATGTATAAAAATGCATTTGGATTGAATGATTCATTTTAACGTTATCGAATGCGTGTTTTTGAAAATTTGAATCCATTTCAATCTATGTTAATTCATTCTCGTTTACTGGATAATCTTCGTTATCGTCAAAAAAGAAAAGTGATGATATTTGTGCAAATAATACAGAAATTAAATCCTCATTCTCTATTTTACCGCGCTTACTTAGAAAGAGGAAAGGAGACGACTTTGTTTGACGTCACATGAGCGCGTTTACAGCGCATAAGAGACGGTTTAAAAAAATGCTTTATAGCGTTAAGCGCTTATAATGTATGTGAGCATGCAAAAGAAACGCATACTATGTTACGTGTCGTGAACTATATTCTGAATACGCACTATCATTATAAGCACATTATGAATACAGGCCTTTGTTTATATATCTTTTATATATTTTCGATTTGTATTTACCGGTACCAAGATCCGTGCCAATCCATTTCGATATTGCAGTCTTTGTTTCTCGACCCTGGATTGAGCTATTGCAACGTTCTCTCTTGCAGGGTTCTTTTTCCACGGGTTTTACATCTTTCGAAGGACTGAACAAGCGTCTAATTGCCGGTGGTGTCTCGATATTATCTGAATCGATCTCAATCTTATCGTTGATTCTTTCCTTATCCGCGGATTTTCTACCAAGCCTGAAAAATCGCCGGGTTGCAGGCGCTTGCGTTCCAGTGTACGGTTGCCGAAGATAGATCGTCAATTCATCTTGGATATCTAAATTTA